TATTTTGATGGGATAAAATATCAGATCTGATGCCATCAATTTTACCTCTGAAGTGGTCTGCAAAGTCTTCACAAAGGGAATCTGCTGAAGTGCTTTGTAACTTGTTAAAATCAGGGTTGATTAAAATTAAAAAGTCGATGGTTGAGAAGAGGACTCTGGGATTATTTCTATGATTATTGATTATGTTGGCAAAGTAGGTGTTTCTTGCACGTCTGAGTGCATTATTGTAAATTTTAAGTTGTTCATGGAATATTTGATAGTTAATAGTTAATTTGTGACACATAGGATTGGGGGGCTGCTAAAAACAATTGCATGGTATTCAAAGGTGGTGTACTGATCAAATAAAATATGTTTAGTAGTGAGTGAATTAGTGGTGATTGATGCAGTACCACCACCCTTCCTACTGCTCCTTAAAGAAAATGCAAAATTAAAATTTGGTGGGGAGGCCTCAGCGAGAACAGCTGGTGCGTCAGCGCTCAGCCACGTTTCAGTTAAAAAGAAACAATCAATTTTGTTATCTAAAATCAGCTCATTGATAATAAAAGACTTGTTTGCCAGAGAGCGAATGTTTAAAAGTGCCATACTGATAGTGGCTTGTGACTTCTGGACTGTAGAGATCGGTGGTTGGTATTTTTGGAGAGGTTTGAGGTTATTAAAGTTCACTGTGTTGATGCGTTTATCTATATATGTGCGGTGATATTTAGTTTGCTCTCTGTTTGTAATGATGACAGGAATTGATGAAGTGTTTGCGTGAATATAAGGTCCAAGTCCGGTGATGCATGTATTGTTGTTAAAAATGGAATTAAAAACATAGGAGCTAGGACCTGGGGGACATCAATCACTGACGAACTGGTCAGCAGGTGTGGGTTTACATCGGTGAGGCATGCTGAGCGCCGTATGCCAGGTTAGCGGACAGTAGACAGCAACCAGATTTGTTGAGGTGAAGCCCATCAGCCCCAAAAAGATGCCTCCTCTCCCAGAAGACATCAAAGTTGTCTATGAAGCCAACATTGTGGGAGCTGCAGGCAGAAGAGAGCCAGGTGTTCACGCTGAGCAGTCTGGAAAAACGGCCTATTCCTCTGCCACAAGTGGGGGTGGGGCTGGAGATAAAAACACTCAGCTGTGACTGTTTGACCAGATTAAAAAGGTGGGTAAAATCCTGCTTTAAAAGTTCAGACTGCTGCTTGGGGATGTCGTTGGTAGCTGCATGTATGATCAGTCTGTCGGCCTGCGGATGAGACTTCAGGATGCCTGGGATTCTTTCCATTATGTCAGCAACGGTGGCGCCGGGGAACGACAGTGTGATTGCCCCCCTCATCCGCACGTTCCTCACGATGGAGTCCCTGATAAGGAGGGTTGTAGGTGGAGGATCCATCAAGTGTCCAGGGGGTGAGGTGGGTGAACCGGGAGCGTGGTTTCCCGCCAGGTGAGGAGAGCCCCTGGTGTGCCACTGCACTGCATCCTGCAGGAGCCGCTTGCGCCTGGCTGAGGAGTGGAGAGGGGGTCGCTGAGGCCCCGCTGCCGGGCGAGGGACAGAGGCAGCCCCGTTCGAGGTCCTCCTCCGCTCGCGGACAACAACCTCGGACCAGGTAGCCCCCCGGTCGAGATGTTGAGATGGATAACGGGAGGGGCCGTCAACACGGGAACTGCCAGGACCCCCACAGGATGACTCTCCAACTTCTCAAGGTGCAGAGCACGGCCCGGTGGTTGTAGGTGCAGGGACAGCAGCGGCATCAGTGGTAGCAGCAGCGGCGGTGGCAGAGGAATTGTTCGAAGGTACACCGTCTGGGGCTCCCACTCCGCCACCGCTGCCTCCGGCAGGAGGAGAAGCTGCCGGTTGGTGCATGGAGTTGGGGGACGCTCCAGTGGAGGAACCACTGGAGGCCCTGCCATCCTCACCTGGGTGATCCGGTGCCTCAGTCAGCGCTGTGTAGCCGTTCGACAGGTGGAGCAGTGGCGGTGGAATATCCGTGATCCGCACCTTCCCACCTCCCCTAACTATCACCTCCGTCCAGTTACCCTCTGGATTGGGGGTCGAGCAGGAGGATGGCCGAGTTTGCAACAGATCCCAAAGAAAAGTGTCAGCCGTGGAGGTGTTAATGACTGGATCCAGGACGGCGATCTTCTTGTTTTGTGCAGCAGCTGTGTCGATGTAACTTGACAGCAAGACGTCCTTCCTCCGCAGCTCCTCCGCAAGTCTCCGGACATCTTCCCTGAGGTTAGTTATCACTTTTTCTCTGCGTGAATGAAGACAGTCCTCACAGGGCCTGCCTGCCTGCCTGCCTGCCTGCCTGCCTGCCTGCCTGCCTGCCTGCCTGCCTGCCTGCCTGCCTGCCTGCCTGCAATTTCTGGATTGCTATGAGAGGATATAAAGCCTCAGATTAAATGTACAGTTACATATCCTGCCATGACTCTGATGGAGATCTGATACCAAACAAAAATGCTGTTTACCAACTAAGGAGCATCGTCAGTATTGGTTTTCGTCTGTTTTATTTTTGACACAATTCTTACATCAGGCAGATGGATAATAAATAAAACTTCTCTCTGGAACAACTGTGATAAACTTATCAGAAACAAATATTTATCCTTTCATACATGGTTCCAAAAAGATAAATTATTTTTTTGATGAATTTGGCATGAACAATGAATAGTTTGTCTATACACAGTTTTTCCAGTTCCTTTCAGATAATTCATTTCTTTGACTCTTGCTTTTCTAAATGTGTTAACTCAACTTATGAAAAACCATCTAAGATATGATGAGAGTAACATAACACAGCCTTTACTGACGTTGGATAGAATTAAGATAACAGATAAAATGTGTAACAATAAGAATATTCACTGATCAATGAAAGTGATGAAACTGCACCAAGAGACAAATTTTTCTGAAGGTCTAAAATTAAGAACATAAACTGTAGAGGACCTCGGCTGTTTTCTTATGAGTAATGCATCTTAAATAAGGCTTAAGACGTACACCTCAGAATTTTACACAAAAACTACCTTGCCAATTATCTTATTGCCAAATTTACAGACCATAATGCCTCCTGCTCCTTTTGTAAAAAATAATATAGAAAATAAAAACATTTTTTGCTATTGTGATAATCCAGAGAAAAGCGCTCTTGAATCTCATTGATATTGTTTTTCTAAATGTTAAGCTTTTTACTTAAAAGAACACGTTATTTAAGTCAATGAATTTTAGTGAATTTTTAGCTTTCGTCATAAATTTCAATTCTCTTCTCAAGTCACTCAGTTATTCTTTGGTTCCTAAAAACATCCTTGCATCTTCTTTTTGTCTCTTTTGTGTTAATTTTACGCAATTGTCTTGAAATACTGTTATTCATATGTTTTATATATAATTATGGAACACTTTTTTGGTTTTATATTTTTACATGTGCTGTTATTAACTACCTGATGTTTTGTACATGTTCTTAGAGAGAGAGAGTGATTCACAGTAGAATAGTAATTTCCCGCCTCTACTGTGAAGGTGAAGGGTTCATCAGTGTCCTAGTTTCTATTGTTAGAACAAATGTCTCCACCCAGCAGAGCTCAACTACGTCCGCAGCAAGGATTTAAATATCCACGTTCACAGCCTCTAATCTCCAGTTTTACATCGGACAAACCTAGACTCTGAAAAAAAAATGAGTGGTCGCGGCAAGGGAGGAAAAGGACTCGGTAAAGGAGGCGCTAAGCGTCACCGCAAAGTTCTCCGTGATAACATCCAGGGAATCACCAAACCCGCCATCCGCCGTCTGGCTCGCCGTGGTGGAGTGAAGCGTATCTCCGGTCTGATCTACGAGGAGACCCGCGGTGTGTTGAAGGTGTTCCTGGAGAATGTTATCCGTGATGCCGTCACCTACACCGAGCACGCCAAGAGGAAGACTGTGACCGCCATGGATGTGGTGTATGCTCTGAAGAGGCAGGGCCGCACTCTGTACGGCTTCGGAGGTTAAATCACCGTCTCATCTCACTGCAACACAACGGCTCTTTTAAGAGCCACCCACAACATCTCAAGAGCTTGTTTCTGTTGATTTAATACCGTTGTATGTTCCCATTTGACGTGGTTTCCCCTGAGTCCATGTTGATTAAAGGGAAAGTCTCCATAGTACTCTCTATGCAACGCAGTAGTGACATTACTAATGCTTAGGCCTATTTAAAAACTATTGATAGCCTACATATTATTTGAGAGCAGGCCCGGACTGATCGTAGGGTATAGAAATATTCACTGTCACAAACGGGCTTTCACACACCTCTTTGCGTGGATTGTCTGTCTTAAAGCAAACCAATTTAATGTTACAATAAACTACAGAGGTGGAAGAAGTAAACTACTCAGATCTTTTCCTTTTTTAATTGAAACTTAATATCAGAGTGAAAATATTTTGTTGCAAGTCAAAGTCCTACATTCATAGTTTTTCCTCACTTATTGGCATCACTACTTACAGTACAAAAAGTAAAAGTTACCCCTCTCATGATGCAGAATTACCAATTCAGAAAATTATTTATAAAATTATTAGCCTGCAATTACCGGTGCATTAATGTTAATCATTTTATCTGCTGTAGGTAACGATAAGATAAGATACACCTTTATTGATCCCACAATTGAGAAATTCTAGTGTTACAGTGGCCAAGGAGAAAGAGTCAGATAAAAATATCAAAACTTAAAAACAAGGCATGCAAAAAAAAGTACAAAAATATGAATACATAAGAAACTGCAATTAATAATAATAATAATAATGAGCAATGGATTAAAGAGAGCATATCTAGTGCAAAGTGATTGTATGTGCAAAAAACAACAACATGGGGACAGTAATGCTTATAATGATGTTTATAAAGTGTCCATGGTGCAGCTGATTATCAGCAGTGCTGGTTAGTAGTCTGACAGCAGCAGGCAGGAAGGACCTGCGATATCGTTCCTTCACACACTTTGAGTGAATCAGTCTATCGCTGAAGGAACTCTCCAGAGTTTTTATCTCCTCATGCAGAGGATGGGAGTGTTAGTCCTCAGGAGGATGACAGCCGAGCTGTTATCTCTGTCTCCCACCACCTGCACAGAGTCCAGAGAGCATCCCAGGGCAGAGCTGGCCTTCTTGATCATTTGTTTAGTTGGACAAGATGGACATTTTAATTATATCATATGGGTAGTTTGATAATACCTCATCATTTATTTGTTGATATGTTGTATAAGTCATTTAAATCTTCAAAGTAACTAAAGCTGTCAGATAAATGTAATGGAGTAAAGAGATGCAGAAATAGCCTATAATATGAAAATACTCATAGCCTACTTAAAGTAGCTTAAAGTAGCACCTAACCCTACTTAGGTTACATTCTACGACTGTAAATACAATTATAGTCAATGTGTTTCATGATAGCAGCTGTGAAAAGACCCAGTTTATTATCATTATTTCTTCTTAGACTGGATCATCACTCTTTCCCATAAACTGAGCTCACTTTTGTCTTAGTATACTGATGACTATTTATTTTCCAATACGCAATGATTTCAGAATTACTAGATCAGCGTTGTGTCTCTATTTTATTTTGCCCACTATAGCACGAACAAAGCATGAGTGATACAGTGGATTATACTTTAATTTCATCTCTTGATGTGAATAAAAATGTCTTTCCTGTGATGTTTATTTATTGTAAGGTTTAACTTAAAAAAAAAACAACAACAACCTATTAATTAATGATTAATTTACCCCCATTATAGCTGGAGAAGTTAGGGTCCTAGTATTAACAGAAGACTGCTCTTTAAGGCTGGTGTGGGTGGCTCTTAAAAGAGCCTTTTAGTGAGTAGTTTGTTGATGAGACTGATGACAGCTCACTTCTTCTTGGCTGCTGCTTTCTTGACTTTGGGCTTGGCTGCCTTCTTTGCGGGGGCTTTCTTGGCTGCAGGGGCCTTTTTGGCCACCTTCTTGGGGCTCTTGGTGGCCTTTTTCGGGCTCTTTGCAGCCTTCTTGGGGCTCTTGGCTACTTTTTTGATCGCTGCAGGTTTCTTGGACTTCTTGGGAGACTTCTTAGCGGCTGCTGGCTTCTTAGCTGCCGCTGTCTTGGGCTTTTTGGCCGCTGCGGGCTTCTTGGTTTTAGGATCGGCTTTCTTGGCCGGCTTCTTGACCTTCTTCGGTTCGGCAGCCTTCTTGCTCATCTTGAAGGAGCCGGAGGCCCCGGTCCCTTTGGTCTGGACCAGAGAGCCCTTAGCCACCAGAGCCTTGATGGCAGTGTTGACACGGGACTTGTTCTTGTCCACATCGTAGCCTCCGGCAGCCAGAGCCTTCTTGAGGGCGGCCGCAGACACGCCGCTCCGCTCCTTTGATGCAGCTACAGTTCTCAAAATGAGCTCACGGACGCTGGGACCGGCCTTCCTCGGTTTGGTAACCTTCTTCTTGGCGGCTTTGGCCGGCGCGGCGGCTGGAGCTGGAGCTTCTTCTGCCATATTCTGTAGTAATGTTACTCTTACTCAGTTACACACGGGACTGTCTGACTGGACTGTTGAAAGAACGGTGAAGGAGGCTGAATATAAACACAGCATGAGGACCGTGGAGACTCAACCCAGCCCGTGGCTCCTCTGTGCAACTGTATCCGTCTGCAGTGTGCAAGAGAGGGGCGTAAATGGTAGGGGGCGTGGCGTGTAGTCTTAAGTCATAGAGTGGGCGTGTCGTGTAGTTACATCACGGATACACTCCACGCCCACTATACACGCTTCTTAAAGGGATATGAGCCCAAATAGGTTCTAATACAGTTTGACCACGGTCCAACTGCACAAACGTCAATGTTTTTACTTACACATTATTTGCCCTATAATAAATGTATATTCAAAAGTGTACAAATATTATTATTATTATTATTATTATTATTCAGCAAAATGTATTGTCCATTCATCTTACGTGAGAGGGAAAGTGAGCTGATTGTCGAATATTGTTATTATTACTATATTCAGACTGTTTATATTTTAAGGATAAGCTACAACTAATGAGTAAAATGGCAGGCCATTATGCCAAAGTAGTAAATTACAAAAGCTTACATGAGAATGAGTTGAGAAGATGATAATTACTTTATTAATCCTCAAAGGAGGAATCATTTGTCTGGCAGCACAAAGCCTAATGGATGTAGGTATGAAGGATCTTGTGAATATCTCCATTCTGCACTGAAGAGGAGCCATTCACCACTGCTGTCTTTTGGTCTGTCAATGTGTTATTGTTAAGTGGTTGATAATATCACATTAATTTATTTTTACTGTAGGAGGACTGTAGCTTTTTTTTTTCTTCTTCTGGTACTTATGTATGTTTTTATGAATTCATGTCATGTGAATGGCTCTGAACTGTAAAAACTGATTGCCCTTTGAGGGTTAATTAAGTTTTTGTTTTTATCAGGATGTTTATTGATATTATTTTACTTTTTTTTATATAATAAATATAAAAAAACATTTCAAAGCTTCTCAGGTTTGTCACGACCTGGCTCAAAAGTCATGACAAAAGGAACAACGGAACGCCAAAGTGCCAATAAATAAAACAATTTATTTATTTTCTTCAAATGAAACGATTTAGAACAGAGGACCAAATAGATGAGGTGTGTTTGTCGGTATTATCAGTTGTGTAAGTGTGGTTGAGGGTTTGTGAGTATCATGTTGGATGCAAAACCAAAAGACAAAGAAACTAAACGTGCAGGGCAGGTTCTGGCAGGGATTTGGCAGAGTAAACTGCGCTGGGGGTTGGAACACTGGACCCAGGTGCTCCTAATCAGCTGAGCCGGGACGTCCAAATATGGGCAGCAGCAGCATTTCCACTTCAAAACAGAAGAGAATGGTTAAAGGCCCCAGCAGGGCCGTGACACATTTTATTGGAGGAGTCAAAAGAAAAAAAGTCAATCTGTGAAGCCATTACACCATATAGCTGGCTAAGCAATGCCTCAGAGGAGAGTGCTCTTCGCATTTTATCCTTGAAAGCTTGTAGCTTCTCCGTTACCTCCTCTGATAAGTGCCCCATCAAGTCTTTTTGCATAATTTTCAATTCACTGTCAAAAAAACGTTTTGGTGAACCCTGCTGCAAAGTGAACCCTCTTCTTCAGAGAGGATCTTTGCCTCCCAGTTTGTTCCTGGCGGCAGAGCAGAGTGAACTGTCTTTCTTCTCAGAGGATCTTTGTCCCATGAGAGCAGGCACAGTGTCCGCAGTGTAAACAAATTTCGCTGGTGATTTGACAGTCACTAGAAGCACCTTATGACCCTTTGTAAAAGAATCTGTGTGGTAACTGTGTTGTACATGAGCTAACGTTAGCGGCTAAGGACTGAGAGGCTGTTCGGTATGTGTGCGTGTGTCTGTCTGAGGAGTGTCAGTACGTTAGCTTGTTAGCCGTAGCCTTGCTGTCTGTTTGTCATGTTAATGTTATCGTCGGCAGCCCTGAATAGCTTGTAAAGCTTTAGCATAGTTAGTTAACACATTTGTTATCAGCCCATGTGTTTACTGCTACAGAGAATTAATAAATCTTAGGTTTATTTGCACAACGCCTCCTCTCTGCTGTCTTTTATCACGCTTGCTAACGCTAAGTTAACTTTACCAGCAGATCTGTATGAGGCACAAACTGAGGCGACAGTTTAGCAGTGTGCTGATGCTTAGTGGAATTTCTTAATATTTTCTGTGAAACTAATGTGCATTTAATAAAGAGACAGAGACACTGGGGTGGCATGGAGTTTTGAATGAGAAAACTTTATGGGCACAACGGCCAGTTCAAAACAGGGCATGCTACACTGGCCGTATGGGTACGAGGGGCATTACGGACACAGTCCGGGGCATCCACGGCACTGGTCGTTTGGCCGTGGTATAATTCCTGCCCTGATTATTACAGCGGAGTCACAATTTCCAAGTTATTTCTGGCTACATTAACATTACAACAGCCACAATTTCTAACTTAGATTTATCTACTTGGGTCAACATTTTAGGATCGTTTAGAACAGAAATACATATACGTTGCATGTAATTTATCAAATGGGCAGATAACCCCTCTGAAACTATCTTGCTACCTTGTTTTGCTCAGTTTAGACAGCAACGGGCTAGCCTCCTTCTGTCTGCCCAATAATATTTAATATTGTGGTTAAAATATATAACTTACTTGCCTAGTTCATAGCCCCGGGTAATAATATAACTATGTGCAGCAATTGTATTTGTGTGTTACATTTACTAAATAAAATATAAGGACACTTACAGTCTGGATACGATCCGCCATCGTTCTTTTTTGAGACCTCATGTTTATTTCCTTGTTCTTGCTTTTGGCGGGTCTCATTTTACATCTCCCGTGGTTCAACGTGATTGGATTTACACAACTACACAACACGCCCCCTACACGATCCGCCCACTCTACAGATTCCGCCCCTCTCTTGCAGGCTGCAGACCAAGCCCCAACCTCTGGGGGAGACGAGTGAGACCAATGCGGAAGTGCCAAAAACTGCAGTTCACTGACTGTCCACTTGAGGCTGGCTCCGGAAGTNAGTGAGACCAATGCGGAAGTGCCAAAAACTGCAGTTCACTGACTGTCCACTTGAGGCTGGCTCCGGAAGTGAGTCAATTCCCATAGACCCCCATGTTAAAATGCCCAACTTTAGAGCAGAAATAAACATGTTTACAGCCTGGTACAAAAAATGGTTTTGGTCTCTATAGTTAATTTCCCTTTTCATGACAACTGTGGGGGGGAGAGGGGGGGAATTTTTTTCTAACTCTTCCATTTAAATGTTATTAAGGTTTGAAATTGCGCATAATTAAGGGCATGGTCACTTTGAGTCACAGGTCACACCATCGCGGGTGGCTAACTAGCATGCTAACTAGCCGCTGGCTCTGCTGTGCGGAGCTCGGCGGAGCTGAGCTCAGACTCGGCCGTCTGCTCGGCGTCATCTCAGCCAATTCGTGCCCATATTCAAGGCATTGAACCTGTCCTCTCAGCCGTGTTTGTGCCTTTTGGATATTTTTTCAGGCAAATATTGGAGTAATATGTCTTGCTGTTCGATTAATTATACCAACAGATCGTCCAAGAAGTCTGTGCTCCAGGTTTTTCGGTAAGTGAAATTCGGAAATTCTAGTATTATTTTATTTATGTTTATATATTAGCACTAATTAGCGGGTATCGGTGTCTGCGGTCACTACGGTCACCACCTAGCTTGTCAGCTTATTATTAAATTATTAAGCCTTTATTTAACACATGTAAAATCACGTTAATACCGGAGGTCTCATTTTCAAGTGAGACCTGTATCACAGCAGCAACATCCACATCAAGTTACAGAGCCACAGACAATACAACACAAGCTTAGCTCGTTAACTAGCTAACCAGCCAGCTAACGGTTAGCCTTCGAGCAAGACGCCAGTCCGGGGATGCATCGAAGTCAGAGCCTGACAGAGAAGTGTTAGGATTTAGGCATTTAGGGAGAAAATATTTTGAACAAAAGGCTGAGGCTGTGTGAGGTTTGAAAATAAAGGTCCACCACGTTAGTTAGCTAACGTGTTGCAATGTTAATGTTGTCATATGAGCAGTGTAACATTAACGTAACATTAAGGCTATACTTGTGTAACGTTAAGTAAATTAAAAAGTGGCGAACTGTGTGAAATTACAATAAGGTGTGTAACGTGATTAAAAAACTAATGTGACATTTGACTGTCGCAATATAAAATATTAATAAGATTAGTGTATGAAAAAGGCCTGTGCTTACACAACAATAGATAATGCACAGACAGAATATGAGGACTGTGATGGCCACCACCTTTTTGTTTTGCTAAAATAAATTGATTATGATCTGTTGAACATTGAAGTAATTTAAGTTGTATTGTTTGCATGTAAAGGTGTCTGTGAAGTAGGTAACCTAACACATACAGTGGTGGAAAAAAGTTTTCGGACACCCTTAAAATTTTACACAATCTCAAATATTATCATGAAATATTTGTGGAAAAATCTTTTTTGTGTTTCAAAAGGTGTGGCTGCATTAGACAGATACAAACAAATACAAATTATATTTTTTTGTTCA